TGTAGTACATTTTATAAGAATATTATAAAATGTTACAACATACATATATATAATTTAATTCACTATAAACTTAAAATACTTAATGAATTCAATTACGAAATTCATACCGAATAAAAGACCATGAAAATTCAAAATTTTTATCTAATTAGGGAGGAATTTTAAAAGATCACAAATAATGTAAGAGTACGAGCACATTATAATGTAAGAGTATAAATAGTTGTGTTTTATTTCCCGTGGTAAAAAACATTTTTTATGTATAACAAACTACAGGATGTTTGAATGATTTTTGAAATTAAGTCAAATTTCTTTAGATCCGATTTATTATTTTACTTTGTATATCATTTGGAAACTTCCTGAATAGCATAGAATAATTTAATAATTAAGAAGTATTCAAAATATAAGGCAAAAATTTTAGACATCCTGAACATTACAATTCGCATTAGAATTTAGTTTTGTATAGAAATTTAAAAATTGTAACTACTTTAGTAATTCAAAAATAAAATTAATTTAGATTCTAATATAATATTGTCTATAATATAGTAGAAATGTAAAAGGAATTTTCTCTAGCTTTATTAAAAATTTTGTTTACAATAAGAACAAGGTGATCTTCAAATTAATATTATCATTCATGAATCCTAAGACATAATATAGTTAACCCTCAAAAATTTGAATGCAGAGATGTTTGACCTTTGTTCCTAAAGCAAATTAATCCTATTCAAGGAAAGCAAACATTATGAATTTAATTTCGTGCTTGAAAGGAATAATACCCTTGTTTACCTTGAATTCCATGATATTTTTTCGTAAGAACTGGTTCGTATGATTTCTTATATTTATTTTGTATTGACATACAATCAAAGTTGTAAGAACTAAAATATTGTTCTGTGAATTAATTTACAAGATATCTACCATATCTTTAAATAAACAGTAGAAAATTGTAAAATAATGATAAGAAATTATAAAATTTAAATACTGTTATACAACAACGTTACAGCCTGTAAAACAAAATTAAATTACGAGAGAAAATTAAATTTCTATTTTAAATATTTTGCCCTCTTTAGACATTTCTCTTTATTCTTGAAAAATTGTATTCGAAAACATTTTAGAGGGGGGAAATAAATTAAAATTTATATTAAAGAAATTAATGAAACTCTCACCTTTCTGATAAAAATCTAATTTAAAAAGATTCTCCATTAAATTTTTTGCATTCTTTTAATTTTCTACATTCTACAAGAACCATTTGCTTAGAAAGAAACACTACAAATATTTTTTTTTCTTAATTTTTGAACCAAAACTTCCATTAATACATAATGACATTTTAAAGGCAACATAAAAGAAAAGAATAAAATGAATTTTTTTTTTCGTTTTTTTTTTTAGCAATTATTTAATTATATTTCCATTTTCTAATGACATAATTTTATTAAACTTAATAACTTCACTCTATATATTTATATAGAGTGTATAGTGTATAATTGCGATAATTGCAATTATTAAGAAAAAGAAAAATTACATTAGATTTTCTTTATAGTTACAAGGTTCTGGTTTTTTATATACATAAAGTTGGGTCAAACCAATGGTTTGTATTGTAGCACTTTCCCCTTCAACAAGTGAAAATACTGCTTTTAAAAACAGTCTATGTATATCCACCACACTATTAAGATTATTTTCATTTATAAACGAAACTATTTCTAGGATTGCATATATTTAGGATGAACCATTTATGCAGTCTTTGAAATAAAGCAAAATTTAATATAAACAGGGGTTAACATAATGCTCGATTTTAAGGGTTATTTGCGTGAGTTAAGAAAAATAATTATATTTTTTAATGTCATGGAATTTACCGTTAACTTTTTGCGTTTATAGAAATTTGAAAAAACTTGCGGTTTCAGATATATAAGGTGTCAAAAATGCAAATTTTACAAATTTCAAGAGGCCATAACTTAAGAGGGGGTGGAGATGGAAAAAAATTTTCTTCTAACGAAATGAACTACTTCTTAATGTCTAAAAGCCCCTAAAGCTTTTTTCATTATTTTAAGGTTTTATTTAATTTTATTTATTAGTTTTTCTTCAAGACCCCAGCCTGTAGAAGCTTATTTCAAGCTTCTACAGGCTGGGGTCTTGAAGAAAAACGACATCAAAAATTTGGAAAAGAAGGACTTTAGATAACGGTAAATTTGAACGGACATTTTGTTTTTCTAAAGTTTAACTATAGTATACCGCGGTAGGGGAAGCAAGCCACTGCCTTTCTGCGTTTGCAAAATTTCAAAAATGCTTATGGTTTCATTGCAACAAATAGTTAAAATAGGCCATTTTTAGGGCTTTGGGGGGGTATAACTTCTAGAGGGGGGGAGGTAGGTAAAAATTTTGTTCTACGAATATAAGTTTCTAGTAAAGATCTATGTACGTATTAAATTTCAGCTTTCTATCTTTAAGAATGTAGAAGTTTTGTAAACAGACACACGAACAGACAGACGGACGGACGGACGGACGGACGGACGGACGGACGGACAGAGTGAAACTAATAAGCAATTTTTTTCAAAAAATTTTTGGAAAAGTGCTAAAAAGTGAATTTTCTTGAAATTTATTCAATAAAATTGTTATATAAAAATTAAAAGTTTTATAAATGTAAAAATCTCTTTAAGGATATTAATAAAAACTCTTATACATATACAACCATTCTCAAAAACAAAAATTTTTTCCTGTGAAAATATTTCAAAACGGTAATTTCTTTTTAATGTTAAACACAATGTTTTATAGAAAGCAATTAATATTGTACGAAATAAAAATCATAAGTTTCTTAAAACAGTTGAATCAAAAAATCATGTTTCCCTGTAAAAAATCACATTTCCTTGCACAAACAATTTTGCGCAGGGAAATTTGATTGTTTGATTTAATTGCATACTTTTAGGATGAGATAAATAATTGTAAAAATGAATCTAAAAAAACGTTTTGCATACATTTAGGATTGAACAGCAATAATAAAAATGAATTTAAAGGGAATTAAATTAATGACCAAAATCTGATTAATAATGGCATTATAAATAATTATTACGCAGAAATTTACGACTATACTTTTCGCTTAATTATCATAATTCTTTCAAGTATCAATATTAACTTAATAGAGGGTAAACTACAATGACAAACACCCACACAGCTACGAACGGACCAATTTACGAGTGCAATGTACTGAAAATATTCAAATTTTTTATTATACTCTCCTAATTACTTTTTAAACCAAAAAAAATTTGCCAATAATATTGGGTAGCTCAGATGGATTACTAAGATCACTTTTTATGAAATGGGTAAAAATTCAAAATTTCTGTTAATCCAAATAATATAGAATAATTTTCTGAAACCCTGATTTCATAGTTATCTTAAGACAACTGCAAACAACCATAACTGCTGACTATATTGATTTTATTAACTAGAACATATTAGGTACTTATAGTGACTCAGTTTAAATGAAATCGTGCAAAATAGTGTTCACTAGTGAAATTTTCCCAATTTAATCCAAAATAATAAATCAATTTTTAAGCAAAACTAATTGAAAATACACTCAAGTTTTAAATTTCATAAAAAATACTGACTGGGAACTTTTATCTTTGCAGTCCTTTCACTCATGAATCATAGTATTTTTTTTTTTTATTAATTGCGAAAGGAAAAATTATTTAACGTGTATTAAATGCTTTAAATATTAAAAATACCTAAAGTGAAGGTAAATATCCTTTGTAAATTATTTTTAGAAAATTATAGAAAAAAAAAAACAAAACGTTTAAGCATACAAAAGTGTAGTTATAAATTTTTTATCGATTGCAATTAAAAATTGATTAACAGTTAAAACACCATCCTTTTTGAAATATCGAATAAAATTGAAATTGATATACGTACACGTAGGTACTTGTATTCCACATATGCGGCAATATTTTTATTAAGCACTTTATAGAAGAAGAAGAGGAAAAAATTCAATTTTCCAATTAAATTTCAATTTTCAGAAAAAAAACACAAAAAAAAAATAAAAAAAATTGTAGAACTATTCAGCTGAAAGTTCAATGGTTTAATTGGAATTTTTTCAAATATCCTGCAATAGAAGACCATAAAATTGGAAACAATTAATGAAAATTTTTTTTGATAAAATTTAGAAAAAATGTTTACAACTTGAATTGAAAATTTAGTAGAAGTTCTCAGTTTTTGAGTTAAATGAATTTTTTCAGTAAAAAAATTGATTAGTCACAACTTAAGCTTGAAAACATAACAACCATTATTTTATGTTTTATGCAAAAAAATATGAAATTTTATTAATTTAGTGAATTCTAGCAAAGAACACAATTCTAACTTCTCGTAAACTGTTACCGGAATTTTTAATTTTTTTAATATATAAAGTTCGAGGAATTCACTATTAACACAATAATGACTTCGTACCTACAATAGAATGCGAACATATAGCTTTAGACAATGTTTCACTGTTTTTGTTTTAGCAGGTGAGTACGGATTATGTGAGGAGTCAACGGCTCGACTAGGATTTTCCGTGTTGTCAATTAAAACTCTAGTAATTTTGATCTTGGCATTAGAAAGGGTGCTCTGAGGTCTGTACTTTATAAGAATTTTAATTATGTCTAACTATGGGTTATGTATTGGTGATATTGTGGCTCAACTATTTTTTTTGTTTTAGCTAATTTTTGTGCTTATTTTTCCGTAAAACTTAGTCCCAAAATTTTTACCTATAAACTATCTCTACACTATCTTTCCCTTATAAACTCTTATAAAATGTTGACGATTTTGCTAGACAACCTGAACCGTGCATTTTATGCGTTTAAATGATAATTATTATGACTCTTCCATGCAATATTAATTTGCATTATAAAGTGATACCTGGTCAAAGCAATACCTCTGACATTTAAAATTATTACACTAACAAAGTCTTTAATAAAATTGTACGATTGTTTTTTAATTTATTATATTTATTTTTATTGTCAAAAATAAAATAAGAAAAGATTTATACTTACACCATAACGTGATAAAGGATAGCAGGTACACCTCTAGGTCTTTCTAAAAAATTATAGACCCGACTTTGTAACCTTCTATACCGGGCATCACGTCGTGAGCCGCGATTATAATTTAATGGTTTCCCCAGTAGTGACATTCGTGGTTGTGCAAGCCTATCGGCTCGGCTCCTATCGGTAAGCTTGCACGCACTGTAAATACAAATTAAAAAATATATTTTATTAATTAATAATTTTTTTTTTTTTTTGAAATTTAATTAAATAATTTTAAATTTTTTTTTTAAATATTCAAATTATAATCATAAAATTGTGTTGATACTAAAAATAATATTCTGGGGCAACTTGTTAAAATTTTCACATAATTTGTTGAAATATTAATTAGTTGACAATTTTATTATTTAATTAAAAAAAAATTAAGAATGAAAAATAAATTTTTATTTTTAATGAAAATTGTTTTATTTTTTTGTAACACAAATTTTTTAAATATTTTTTTTTAAAAATTAAAAATTTATTCTAATTTTTTTGTAATTAAATGAGATCATTCTTCTTCTGCAGATTTACACAATTTTATAGATAAAAATAACATATTGCAACATTAATTTTAGTAATTGAAAAATTATACATTGACCCAACTTTTATACAATATTTTTTTTACATATGATTCAAATTTTAATTTAAAATTTTCTAATTGTCCAACCACTTGAAATGGCAATAGCCTTACCTCAATTGAAAACTATTTGGCAAAATGAATATTATTTCTTAATAATTTGAACTTAGAATAAAGCAATTAAAATAATTAAATGATGATTTGTCATGAAATTAAAAGACATATATATTTTTTTTGAAATATGCCAAATTTTGCTAACAAAAAGTGAACATTTGGAATTTCGTCTTAAACATTCTTACGAAAATTTTATAATTGAATTTTCAATAAAAAAAACTGTAATATTAAATTAAAAATAAATTGTTGTTATTGTAGCTTATTCAAAACCTAAATTTCATATTAAAATTAAGGGTGTGATGAGAATACACAAATTTTGACAATAAAAACAAATTTTACCCCTATAAATATGCAATTTTTTTGTCATATATCTGTAAATAAATCATATATTTGTAAATTGATATACCAATAAGCTAGTACTGAAATGAGGGTTTTTAGGGTTATTATAATGTCTTCGACAAAAAATTTTGCCAAAAATAGAGCATAAAAAATTTTTGCCTACCAAAAATTTTCTAAAATTGCTGCATTTTCTTTCCTATTTTCTAATTTAATATCATAAAAAAATATACTTTAATAGCTATTTTTTATTTTAAATAACAAAATATAATAAAAATGTAATTGAATAGATCATCTAATTTCATCAACAAACAAACAGAATGAATCAACAGAAAAAATTAATTAAAATCTTAAAAATTGTTTTTTTTTTTTTTCAAAGTATAGCGAAGTGAATCACCTATAAAATGAATAAATAACAATAAAAATAGAATTACATACGAAAAATAAATTAAAATTGCAAAATTCTTCAAGTTTTCAAATAAAATATAGAAGTACCAAATTTTTATTACACATTATTTACGAGATAATGCCAGACAACAATAATATTGTGTCTCATTTATATGCCAATTTTACACATTTTTAAACATACAAGAAATTATATTACATTGTACTTAAACGCACAAACAAAAAATATAATAATAATTATTATTTGATCTTAAATCTGTTAAGAATATGTACAAATGTATTTTATATGTTTACTTGAATTTAATGGCAACAATGTATAGAGCTCTAGATATTCCTAGAAATTACAATAATTTTAAAATTTCCAATTATTTATATAGCAGTATTTTTCACGAGTGTGTGTGTGTATGTACAAAAAAAAAATAATATCATTTCACTCTTAGTATCAGTTTATAATATCTAGGCCACATGTTTATAAGTCTAGACATCAAATATATGTATGTATAGACATTGAAAATATTATTATTGTTTGCTATAGAATTTATTCTTTCTTTGTTACATCCTTGATTTTCTTTTCATTTTACCATGGTAACCTCATTTTCTTGTTATTTTTAAGAAACTGCGAATATAATAAGGATTTTTTTTTTTGTTTCTTAAGGTATATTGAATTTGAATATAAATTTACGGAATGAGTTTTTATAGTGAATTGAAATCCGATTAAATACCTTATTAATTTGAAAAGAAGATTTTTTTTTTTGATTTGAATTGAATTGTGCGATATAATACTCGTATTAAGTTTTTAATATTTGAACCATTTTTCTAGCTGTCTCAAAATTAAATTCACTCGAATATAATTTAGATCAATTATTTGCATGAGTTAATTATTATTAAAAAAAATTATCATCTAGGATTCTTAACCCTAATGCATGGAACATTTAAAAAAAATCATCAAGAAATTCGTGCAATTAATTTATTTTAAAAAATTCATTTTTATCTATATAACAGTTAACAGCCCACTTCTATTTCTGATGAATTTATCATAATTATAATAATATTCACCAAATTCCAGTAAGAATTTGAATATATTTTTTGGCAAAATGAATTTGCTGGGTTAAGATTTCTTGCCCAATTACAAAATATTTTCATTAAATTTGGACAAAAAATCTTATTAAATTGGAAAATACTATCACTGTAAGAACCGAATGGTGAACAAACTATTCAACTTTTAATATATTAAGAGTATATATATATATATATTTATATGTACAAGGGTATATACTTATGTATATATAAGAGAATATAATGTAATCTTTAAAACTTTGTTCAAGAAAATTCATTAAAAAATTGTTATAAAATAAATCTTTGTGTATAGTTTTGTAATAAGCTGATTTTCAGATAAACATGAAAAGAAACACAATAAGAGATTTTAAGAAAAAATATTTACAAATAAATTTGCAACATTTACAAGAAAAAAAAAAACAAAAAAAATAGCAAAATAATAGAACAAAAAAAAGTATGTATTCTTTTTTAATAGTCCTTGTAAAATAATAGTCCCTCTTCAATAGAATAAAAATTTATAGATTTCATTTTGACTTTTAAATTGAAAAAAAATTTGTTAAAAAATAAATTTCGATTGTTAAAAAATAAATTTTCTTTTCGAAATCTCTTTACTATATACAGGGTGGTCCCAAATTGGTGTTATAATCCTCGTTTTCTAATTAAAAATTTCATGTTTAGCTGAAATTGGATATTAAGAATTGATAATAACTTCGAGAAAGTTTATTACCTGAGAGAGAAAGTTTCGAACAACACATTATTCTAACTAGAACGATTTTGAAACCGTATAACAGATATTTGTGAGAGAGAATTTCTTAAAACTGATATAATCTTCCCATTCCCACTCCACCATCCGCACAAACAAATTTTTAATAAAAAACTCCAAGTAATTCAATTTTAACACTAATTCGGATCAACCTGTAGAATACAAATGAATATACATATTTTTCATGAATATAATTTTATATATATATAATATATTTTTATATACTTGGAATACTTCTGAAGTCTGCATCTGATATAAAACTTTTAAAAATAAACAAAACTTTACCCAACTATTAAATTATTTCTGGAAATTCCTATCGATAAATTTGTAAACGATTTTTATTTATTGGAAAAATATTTTTTTTTTTGTAGATTTTTGGCAAGGGTTCTTTTTATTTACAGACAAATTCATTATATTTAATAGATATTAAAGTGATTTACTTATAATTATGTATAAGGGTTTAAAAATTTTTTTTTTATAAAAGTAAAAAATTATAATTTTCGAAAAGAATATTATTTTTTCGAGTATCAAATAAAATAAGTGCAACATATGCAATTTGGGGGCCCAAAACCGCACTGTCACCTCCTAGTGGTGGGCCCCGGTAATGGCGGAGGATAAAGGGGTGATTGAAACGATCAAAGTTACGTTCGTGTCGTGGTCATGTCTCGCGACGAGCCTCTTGCTTTGTGAGTTTCAGCCCTATATCTATACGTCAGCTGACGACAGGCGTCCCAAGTCAAGGTGGAACAGCATATGCCGATGACTGCGTGGCTAAGGGGGAGCTTAGTCGTTAGTATGCGGACTCTGGATACCAGGCGCCCTCCAGTTTAAATGAGCCTTCCCATGGTATGCCGGGCTCTGCCATGGGTGACTTTACCTTCCCGCGCTACTCGTGGGACAGAAATGGAAAACAACAACAACAACAACAAGACAAACAACAACAGTGACAACAACAACAACGACACTAAGGACAACATACAACCACTTAGTGCTCAAGGGTCTTCGGAACCAGAGCTTCTCTCAACTGACGCAGAGGAGGAACTCCTTCTCACGCCAGTGGAGGAAAAGGCGTCGCCTCCGATGGAGACGGATAATCAGGATCCTCTTGGACCTATTATCCAAAAAACTGAGGAGGACCTGAAAAGGTTGGACATCAGGGGAAAAAAACAATATTTCTCTGGTGCATCCAAGCGGCGTATCGCGGCTTATATCAGGGATGGCATGTCCCCAGAGGAAGCTCGCAGATACGAGAAGGAAAGGCTGGAAAAGCTGAAGGCCTGCGGATCGGTTGTTGTGGCCGACCATCCCCAAAAGAGGGAAAGGTCGGAAAGCAACACCCCTGATGCAGGGCCTTCAAAGAAGAGGTCGATGAAGGGCAATGTTGAGGAAAAGGTCCCTGGGAACATTCCTCAACAAAACCCGAAAATGACTTCTTATCGGGATGCAGTAGCACAGGTCAAGGTGGCCATCACTCATAGACTGCATCCAGAGGAAAGGCTATCCGAAGTCCAGATGGGGAAAATCAAAGTAGCCATCATGGATGAAATGGATAGGGTTGTGGACTCTCATCCACAATTCACTGCAGCGTTGCAAAGGGACGGATGGATATCCGTAACATGCAACAATCAAGACACCAGGGAGTGGATAACCAGTGTCTGCAGGAAGATAAAGCCTTGGGACGGTTGCGATGTCGTGGTACTGGATGGCGACAGCATGCCCAAACAGCATGTCTGCGTCACATACGTACCAAAGGACGAGACAACCGTCAGTCTCTCCAGGGACAAATTTCTAAGTAGGATAGGGAAGCAAAATCCCAGCCTCAAGATAAGTTCCTGGAGGGTGCTGAGGATGGATAAGGAAAAGGACGGGGGCTGCTCCATCACCTTTTCCGTGGATGATTCCGGATTGGAAGATCTACGGAAAG